ACAACTGCCGAGGTATGTAAAGTTTTTCACAATCTCCAGTGGTTCTCCATGAACTGTAAGGGATATGTTCGCAGATGGCACGTTCTGAAGCAGGACTTTGCACTTTGAAGGTGCAAGGCGCATGCCAAACGATGGTATGATGGCGGTCAGTTTATTCAACAGGGCTTGTGCTTCGCTAAGGTCTTCAAAGATGAGGGCGATGTCATCTGCGTACTCCAGATCGACAAGGCTCTCGCTAGCAACAATTTGGACACCGGGGTTTTGAAAGCCATCCAGTGTTCGCTTTATTATTTCATCGATGACGAAGTTGAACAAGAATTGGGATAGTGGACATCCCTGTCTGACACCACTTTTTGTAGGGAACTGCATAACCATCCATCGAGAACTGACTCCTTTGGATACGGTGTCGTTCCAAATGGTCCGATCATTTATACACCCAAAAGGTGAACTGTTCGCATCGAACTCAGGTTAAACGGATGCAGGTGAATCCGCGATTGCAGTCCAATGATCTCTGAAGTCAGAAAAGATGCGTTAGGAGGGATGAACAGTTCTCCTTTGGTTACGTTTCTAATAATACACTCTTCCATTGTGGCTTATGATCACTGCTCATTGGGAATGTGATGCTCTTTGTTCATTCAGCCTGAATTTCGAATCATCAGTAATTTATCCTGTCGAGTCAACGTTCCATCAAGGCCGTTTTTCTCTTTAATTGCGAGCTGCCTGATCGATAGACATGCAACTCAGAGACAACAAGACCACAAACCCACTGTAGTTCGATAGTAAAAATTAGCATATGCACCGCTGGCCGGTTGGGGCCCTTCGTTGTATAAAGATGAGCTTGTCGTTTGCATGGCTGGCTCTGCCGTTTAAGTTGGCACATAAATCTAGTAACTTCCTACTCAGAGGGACAGATCACAAGGATGTATGAGGAGAAGGTTGATATTTGCAAACGGCGTTAGTGAATTGAATGTGCCAAAAATTAAACGATGGATTGAATAGAGATAGAAACACCCACTGACTTAGCTTATCCATGAAGATACCGAAAATAGAGTCTTGAAGAATGGTTTTTATCTGTTCGACTAATTCTACGCTAGCTAGTCACTGCAAAGGTCTATCAGTGAGAAAGTAACTTAAATGCGAAAGTTTCTCATCGACGTGGCGCGAGGTATTTCCTCTTAGGTAGGGTAATCATAAAACACCCTATTACGTATATCCGGTGCTTTTTTAAAAAAAAATCAGTTGTATTCATGACGGTCTCTATGGATCCCAGCATCCGCATCACTACGGATGCAAAAGTATGGTACCATTTGGCCGGAGTCTAGTGTTGACCATGAGATAAAATGACGATGTGTGTTCAATAAGAAGAAGGGGTACTGAAAAGTATTTCTGGTTTCAACACAGCTGGTGTTCAGTCACGATGACCATGTAAGTAACCTAGCCACGATAAAGTGAAGTCAACAGGAATCAGCTGAGTTAGTGCAGTAACTGTGCTCATAACTGTAGCTGTTTATCGTCGCAGTTGACTGGTTATTATATGAAGAGGCAAAGGGCATCGCCATTGCAATATGCCTTCTTAGAGGACAGAAAACCGCCGCTTTCGCAATAAGTGAAAACTCAGCGCTCCCAAATTGTTTCAGTTCGGATTTTTTCTAGAAGAAAGGTGCTAAAAATCATTCCACAATTGGTGACCGACGCAGATTACCAAAAATGTGCATTGAAACCGAAAGGGTAATCACTTTTCCCAATGACACATCACAGATGAGTGAATATCCACCAGTAACGAATGGAATGCGCCTGCTTCACCTTCTCTCGAGCTACTAAAGGCTGTATTTTCATACCAGAGGGAATGGAACATCCTCGAGCAGCGGAAGACAAGCAGCGGTAACAAACGGGACGTTTCACACCTCAATCAAAAAACGATAGCGTGGTGACGTGATGCGCTGCCGTAACGTAGGCATAAAAACTTATGTATGCTACATACTAGATGGTAAGCATAAATTCACAAGCAAATCTATTGGCTCAACTGTGGAAAATCGCTCCACGGTATCGCGACATACATAAAGGATCCATAGTACAGGTGTGCCTGGTGGTGGAAGTCGTAAAACTCGAGACCAATGGAAACGTTCCACAGACAGCTTCTCACCTTGTTATGCGTTTCAGACCCTAATCGAGGAATCCCCAGCCGTTCAACGGCCAACGATTTTCTGGCCGGAAGGGGTGGATTGAATTTTACCGCGCTTCGTCGATCCAAACCTTTCAGGACGCCAACGGGAACTGTGATAATGCAATACTTTGCGAAAAACTTTAAAGATGGTTTTCTGCATGCTGCCGGGGGAGACTCTCCTTCTGCGTACGTTGAAGCCTCGATGCAAATAAGATCGTGTCCAGGTCGAACCGAACTGGGTAGTCTGGGTTTATTAGGGACTACATTCGACCAATCAATATACCGAACAACGCAACGCTGTCGTATATCCAAATCCGTGGCCAGAAATTCGATCATCTTGTCAAAACCCTGTAGTACCAGTCTGTCTTCCCACTTATGTTCAATCTTCCGAGCAACGCATGGTTTAAGTGGGTACGAAGCTAGATGTTTCCGTTTCCTCTCTAACCAATCCAAATAAAGTTGCTTTGATAAGGCAGTAGGTTGTTCAGTATCATAGGCTAGATTGGCAGATGCGTCAGCCTCATAATGTGGTCCAAGCTGAAGCTGTGCAGACAGTCGATGTGCGGGATTCACGTAGGCCATGTAGCGGACGAACAAAGAGTCAAAAATACCGCGTTCACGGCTACTAAGTGTGAGTGAGGTCCGTTTTCCAGCTGTGAACAAGAGGCGAAGGCACACATCGAGGGACCTTAGGGAAGAGATGAAAACCACAGTGCGTTACAATTCAAGGAACTTTATAGAAAGCTAGTGAAGGAAAACCTACAAAAAGGATATTAGCGAAAGTCCTGAGTTTACAAGTAAGAAAGCAAACCAATGGAATAGATTTAAAGATTGACAGATAAACAGTTGCTGACAAGTGTGTTTGGTTGCACGTAAACCAGGGTTGTCACTAAACCGACATCCTCACCAAGATTACCGCAGAAAGCAAGTATCGGTTGTGGCACAAAATCACAAAACACATACTTTCTGACCCGTTTCTACCATGGAAGCCGGGATGCATAATAGCCCTAGGGACAAGGTAGGTGAGAATTGGAGTATTAAGAGACATGTCTAGTTTACTTGCCTTGATGAATTTTATCATACTTCGATAAGCTCCTGGGATGCAATAGTCCGGCATTCAATGAAATTGACAGATACGGTGGGGGGAGTAATCACAATAATAGTGCTACATTGTAAAAAAGCTCCAAAAGACTTACGTATTCATCGCAGTGGAGAGGTCATACTTTTCGACGGCACCCTCTGACTTGAGTCTGCTAGACGTCATAATGTGTACCAAGCATCGATCCAACAACAAGCTCATCTCGGTTACTTCATGAAGTGGAATTTCTTCTCCGGTCTTAGGATCCCTCCAAAGACCGATTTCCGGACACTCCCAACCTCGATACGGGCCCAAAATATCCCCGGGAGCCGTCACTGTCGGCATGTTGAGACGAGTGGCCAGTGTAAATAGTGGTTGTATATCCTGAGAACTGACACACCCATGAAGGTAACTAGCGCCCAAGTCCACAACAGTAGCTGGGATTTCGTCGCCCACACATGGCATGCGAAGAGTATGGATTCGTCCCCCAATGCGTTCTCTGGCTTCAAGAACAATAACCTTCAAACCTTCTTTAGACAATACTTTTGCGGCCGTCAAGCCCGCAATTCCTGCGCCAACGATAACGACGTCCCAGGTGTTGGAGTCCGCCATTATAGGCACCTGAAAAAGTTAGTCAGAAATCCGTAAATTTAAGGCAATAAAGTCAGTCGAATTTTCCGTACATCTCAGCTGACCTATTCACGGAAAATTAGGCGCCGTGCCTTCCCCAATAAAGACCAGGAGGCAGAATCCGTTCACTAGATTCCCCTGCATTTCAATACCATGTGTGCATGTGACATCCAACCTTACAGCCAGGCTGGATCCCGAGATAGTTTAGGAATTTGAAACATGATTTTCATCCGCATAGCACCAGTTTTGCCGTTTTCCTCTAGGGAGTCTATGTTAACACGTTGGCAGAGTGGTTTTCTTCGGCATGTTAAGACGTTGGTAAGTGCTCTAAAGAGCTATCGAAAGGCGGTCTCTACGGAGCACTGGACTGAACGTGAAAATATATGATAATTTACCAGGGTTTGCCCATTAATTATCACTCTACCAGCGTAAATATTCTGATAAATCCTAGAATTTCGAAGCAATTATCCCCCATGACTCCCGGAACCATCTTTTCAAAGTGTAGCCCGTCCCTCTAGCGGAAAACTCTAGATCGAATCCTTCAGGCAGTCCATCTGAAGCGCAAGTGTCCCGGAATAGGCTTCGAGGAGCGACTTTGGTTTCTTTCGGAGTCTATCTACAGAAATAGTCATTGACTTTTCAACGACTCGGTCTCTCCAGAACAGAGGAAAGACCGATTTCGTAGTGTCCACAAAAGATTATTGCCAGGCAATAAAATGACCCTGCTTAGTTGGTCATCTGACAAGCTACAAGCTATAAAATGAAAATATTGAAGAAGACCGGACCATCCGCAAGTACATATATATATATATATATATATATATATATATATATATATATATATGCCAGATACATCATATATAGCGCANATATATATATATATATATATATATATGCCAGATTCATCAATTATAGGGCAGACGCAATGGACATGAAAGGATTGACCATATATTCAATATAATATAAGTTCTTGAACAATGCTACTTTCAAATGTGCTACGTTTTATTGAACTGCAGTTTATTTTGGACCCTGTCGATCGTCGGAAAATTTGGCAATCTCTAGCGAACAATGGCGTTACTTCCAAATATATATCCTTATGAGGGAACTGTACGCAAACGCCTCTGGGCATTTACGAGTACACAGCAAGCTTTCGCCTCGACTGCCTATGATGCCGTCGCAAAGAAGATCGACCTTCCCGTGACGTGAAGGTATCTGGGTTTCCGTGACCCACTGAACTACACTGGGTGTTGTCCGTGCGACAGTCACAGTCTCTCAAATCGGGTTAGTCAATGGTCAGAGTGCTGACGAACAGTCTCCTGGCCCTCCTGGCTGGGGTTTAGAACATGTGTGGGTTTGTCGGGTTTAGAAGTTCCGACAGTAAATTGAGACGTTTAGAATGTGCCCGAAAACGAGTTGGGACAGAGTACGAGTTTTTTTTACTTGTCTAGAATGGGCTGAAATTTTAATAACAGGACAAGCATAATAATAAGTACGCAAATCATGAGAAGTACTGTGCTCCCCGTGTAGTGAAAGTTACGCTTTACTGCTATTTCCATTAATCCACTTTCACTTGTCATTTCAGTCTATACTGTGCTTATATGTTGAATAAAGCCTATCCTTAGGCGAAGTCTTCTCATTCTACTCGACGGATCAATAATCGATTAACTAAGTTATCGACTCCCACTACAATTTATTCAACATATTGTTTTGTCATCCATGGAACGCTTTGCTCAACCAGCCAGATTTGACGCGGATCCATAGGCTCCTGATGCAACCGACCAATGGACTCACTGGTATCGTACATTCTCCCATTTTTTATCTTGTATTGAGACGCATAATCCGGACAAACTTGAACTTTTGATCAATTATCTTTCTCCTTCTGTCTATAAATCTGTTTCTGAGTGCACCACTTTCAAAGAAGCTGTCGATACTCTTTGTTCAATCTATGCCCCCACCAAAAGCGAAATTTTCGCTCGACACGTTCTTCACACATGCAAACAAGACAATGAGCAAACACTCTATCAGTATGTGCAAAAGTTACGGACGTTAGCTGTTGATTGTAATTATCAAAGTGTGATAGGCGATGTACGTCGTGACGAAGCTATCAGGGACGCATTTATATCGGGCATTCAGTCTACTCAAATCCGCCAGAGGTTGTTGGAGCACCATACGTTGACGCTACGTGAAACCGTAGAAAAATCTAAAGCATTAGAATCGGCATACAAACAGGCATTGTCGTATCAAGTACCCATCTCATCCAACCCTTGCAACGCTGCTCCACAAAGTGGCTTAATTCAAGATACAGCCCAGTCAGAAGATACAATCCTGGTTTCTGCGGTAACTAATAAATGTTTCTTTTGTGGCTATAGCCGACATCCGCGAACAGCCTGTCCCGCCAGAGATGCCATATGCAAGCTGTGTGGTAAAAAGGGTCACTTTCAGTCAGTTTGTCGTTCCAAACAGAAAATCAAGCCACAGACGGCGACTACTCAATCTTTGTTGTCGGCGCTTACTGTTGCGTCTGCTCCCGTATGCCTACAACGAGCGATTAGCCATGTTCATGTTAACGGTGTCCGTCTCCAAGCCCTAGTCGATACTGGTAGTTCTGAGAGTTATATCTCAGCATCAGTCGTCAATAAGTATAGCTGGCGAGTACTTGAATCAAGAAGCAAAATCTCTATGGCTAACACATCTTTTGTGAGTGATACCCTTGGACATTGTCTGGTGCACCTACAGCTAAAAGACTTCGATTACAAAAATGTCAGGCTATCCGTTCTGCCGCATCTATGTGCTGATGTGTTGCTCGGTCACGACTTCCTCAACCTGCACGAGGGATTAGAAATACCATTCGGCGGTTCCCGACCACCTGTTTCCCTTTGCAATTTGACAGCTGCTAAGGTTCCTGAACCGACTTTGTTCCAGAATCTATCACCAATGTGTAAACCTGTCGCGACAAAAACCAGACGTCAGTCTTTTCCTGATCAACTTTTTATTCGCAAGGAAATAAATACCCTGTTGCGTGATGGAGTTATAGAGCCATCAACGTCACCATGGCGCGCTCAAGTCTTGGTCACAACCAACGAGCGTCACAAGAAACGAATGGTGGTTGATTATAGTCAAACAATTAACCGTTATACGTATCTGGACGCGTATCCACTCCCACGCATCGATGAAATGATAGAAAAGATCGCTTGTTATGAATTATACAGCACACTCGACCTACGCAGTGCCTATCATCAAATTCCTATCCGCGCCGACGAACGTAAATATACTGCTTTCGAGGCTGATGGCAATTTGTACCAATTTTGTCGGATACCCTTCGGTGTGACGAACGGCGTTGCTTGTTTCCAACGCACAATTAATGAAATCATTGCCAAAGAGAAACTGGCTGACACTTTTGCATATATAGACAATGTCACTATATGTGGTAAGTCTATGGAAGAACATGATGCTAATTTAGCCAAGTTCAAAGAAGTGGCGCGGCGTTTCGGACTCATTTTCAATGAAGCAAAGAGTACAATCTGTACAAGAACTGTACGGTTGTTAGGTTATGAAGTATCTAAAGGTACTATCAAACCAGACCCCGATAGATTGCAACCACTCCGCAATCTTCCGCTACCCAGTAACCAAAAATCCCAACAGCGAGCGATCGGGTTGTTTTCATACTATTCGCACTGGATATCACATTTTTCTGATAAAATTTATCCACTCGTGCACAACCAAATATTTCCTCTACCTGAATCGGTGAAAACGGCGTTTCATGTACTGAAATCGGAACTGGCTAACGCCCTGGTTGTTTCTATCGACTACACACAACCGTTGGTAGTCGAGACAGATGCGTCTGATGTGGCAATCGCAGCCACCCTAAATCAAAACGGAAGACCAGTGGCCTTTTTCTCCAGAACACTGTCTCCATCTGAGCAACGCCATTCCGCTGTTGAAAAGGAGGCGTATGCAGTAGTTGAATCTATACGAAAATGGCGACATTACCTCATTGGTAATCACTTCAAGTTGATAACGGATCAACGATCTGTTGCCTTTATGTATGATACTAACCATAAAGGTAAAGTTAAAAATGATAAGGTACTACGGTGGCGCATCGAACTTTCTCCCTTCAGTTATGATGTCGTTTATCGTCCGGGCAAAGAGAATCAAGCTGCCGACGCACTATCCCGCCAGTTTTGTAGCTCCGTGTCTAATTCTTCCGAACTGCTGACCATACATACCTCGTTATGCCACCCCGGAGTCCGAAGAATGTTTCACTTTGTCAGATCGAAAAATCTCCCATATTCGTTGAACGAAGTTAGGGCCGTTGGCGCACAGTGCAGGGTATGTGCGCAAATAAAACCTCGGTTTCATCGTCATATACAGGGAAAACTAATAAAGGCTACCCGGCCGTTTGAACGCCTGAACATCGACTTTAAAGGACCTTTACCTTCGGTTACTCGTAACAAATATCTGCTAACGATCATAGATGAGTATTCGCGATTCCCATTTGCTTTCGCTTGTCCGGATATGAAAGCATCGACACTCATCAGTTGTTTATGTCAACTGTTTTCAATATTCGGTATGCCAGCCTATATTCACTCGGACCGAGGCCCTTCATTCATGTCCGTCGAACTCAAAGAATTTCTGCATAGCAGGCATATAGCTACCAGCAGAACCACTCCCTATAACCCCCAGGGCAACGGACAAGTGGAACGGCTAAACGGAACGCTTTGGAAAGCTATCACACTCGGTCTAACATCTCGTAATCTCGACGTTGGACATTGGGAACATATGCTCATCGATGCTCTGCATGCCATTCGGTCGTTACTCTGTACGGCTACTAATTCAACGCCACATGAGAGAATGTTTGTTCACGAGCGTCGATCATCGTACGGACCATCTCTGCCTAGCTGGCTAACATCACCAGGTCCTGTCCTTGTGAAGTCGTTTGACCGCACATCAAAATATGACCCAATTGTGGAAGAAGCGACGTTACTAGAATGCAATCCTGAGTATGCCCATATTCGGCTCAAAGACGGTAGGGACCAAACAGTTTCCATCCGTCAACTCGCACCCGCAGGTGGCGATAGGGGATCAGAAAATGTTCAGCTCGAGTCTCAAATGTTATCGGATGATAACAACAGTGAAGGAAATGCTGGAATATTACCAGAGATTCGAAACAGACCGAAAACGAGCATATCAGAAAATGCTCAGAATCTTCTGATGCAACAGCAACGCACTCGTCCCTACAATTTACGTAGCCGCGAAGTCTAGATCAGGTGTTACAAACTTTCTTGCGTCCACGACGAAACTTTATTTCACCATTCAATTCAGACCCTCAAAATACTAAAAATTACTTTAACCACTTTCAATTGTTCATCCGCACTACGTTCATTTTCTGTTGCCAACATTTCTGTTCGATTAACTAAGTTATCGACTCCCACTACACCCTGGGCCAAACATTCTCCTTTGCTGCATATCAAGGAGCGATTTTGATACCTGATAATTCCGCTGAAAAGAGGACTCCGAGGCCCAGCCTACTGAATCAAATGGGCCAGTTTGCTGTCCTTTCCAGCATCTTTCGTGTCTTCAATCCTTTCGGCATTTCGGGTCCACCAGGTTTCGCGGTCCGTAAGAACATTCAGTTTTAACCGGCGTCTGGTGGAGTTGTGGTTGCGACCAGGCAGAATCTGTCGCTGAGCCTCCAGCAAAGATGCGGTACTAACAGAGATCCAATATTCGGATGGGGTTAGCTGGGTTGTACCGCAAACAGAAGTTCCGGCTCTGATTAGTGCTTCGAATATGTTTTCCCAGTGGTCGTACATATCCGACAACAGACCGTCGGGCACGCGTTCGGGCAGCTAGTTTTGATAGTTGTGTTTGATTTCTGGGCCCACTAGCTTCTCAGTGGCTAAGCGAGGCGTGCGCGCTTCGTGTGGATTTGAAAAGCGTAGTGAAACGCAGCAGCGTACAAGTCCATAGCTGGATTCTACATTGGTGTTCCAGAATGAGCAGTAAGCAGTGGTCGACCCTCGCCACCGATAGTGAGCACCACTTTGCCAAGCGATTTCCACTGTGCCGGAAATCGGTACTGTGGTCAGCACACACCTAAGACAGGCGACCTCCGTTGTCCGTGAGTCGAGTATTCACCCCAAGGCGACCACCCATTAGGGCCTCCGTCTACCTGAGGGTTCATGTCACCAGCAACAACAGCTACATCAGAGCTTTTAGTCCATTGTAAAAGAGCAGCTAGAGAGTCAGATAAACCTTCTTTTGCAGATTCAGAACCACAGTGCGTTGAGGTATAAGCAGACACAATAAACTGATTGCGATGGGTTTCACATCCTATATATTCTCTCACAGACGTTGTTAAGCGAACCATGAAGAGGCGACTGTCAACGGGTATCCAATCAAGTAGAGACGCTTCTGCTCGATTGCTCAATATAGTACCCATCCCAGTATATCCAGCAGCAGCGACCCCTACATCACCGGAGGTGCGTATCCGGGAGCTGGAAGAGAGCGATGGAGCAGTGGCCCTATCACAATACCTTTATCCTGTATCCTTGTTTCTGACTGCATAAATCAATGCCGAGGGAATCCAGCGTACGAGCGTACGAACATTGGTGGCGGCCAAACACACAGGCTTTCGGGAATTGAAATTAAGCTCCCAAGAGTTTGAGTTTGTTTCTGAAGTCGGACATACAGATGCTGCAGCTGAGTGTTATGCATGGCGAACGAAACGATCAGTCCTAGTGGTGGGACCGGTGGAGAGAGCATTCAAATTTGAGTGAAGTAAGGTAGAAGAGGAAAATCGTGAAAGTATACGAAGGAAGGCGTCAGCAGTAGCATGTTTTCGCTTGTTCGCCCTGCTGTATGTATCAAGTAAGGCGATTCGACTTGTGACACCACGCGATCGCCGATGTGACATGAATTTAGTTTTGTGTGTGCAATTCATGGTTGTACGTGAGCTGGGATACTGTCAAGGAGCGTCCACCTCGACAGGAGATGGTGTTCCCCAATCAAGTGTACGAAGCTACAACAATGGGGGTATTTACTTACGATTGTGAAATATGGTTTCTGAGAAAAGGCGATGTGAGATATCTCCAGGTTTTCATCACTGATACCTTCGAAGGGTTGCTGTCGTCAGATTGTCTCAACAGATTCGTAACAAAGCAATTAGGAGACGGGTGTTTGGTTGTAAAACAGGCAATCCAATCGCGGAAAACATCCAGCACCATCAAATGTGGTGGTGTTCTCTGTACCTCCTTCAAAATGCCGGAAACTGGGAGGTGGACGATGTACGACTTGGCAGAAAGGCATGTAAAGGAATAAGAAGAGTCTGAGTGTTGTTGGTGCGGTTCGCTTTTTAGGATAGAGGCCCAGACACCCATCCTACGTTTTGATAGAAATACTGAGATAAATGGATGCTGATCGATGTCAGAAGTGTTTGTGTTGTCAGTTTCTTTTCGAGTTGTCTGAGTGAGCACTTTGAGGTGCAGGCACCTCAGAATAATTGCGATAAGCCAGCATCCATCTTCTTCCTTCAGCCACTCTTCTCTTCATTCCTGGCTTTAGATATAATTGGACAAAATTTGTGGTTGGACGGCGATGAAGCAACAGTGTTGCTGTGTATGATGATGAACATTATGGGTGATGTAATACATGGTTGTTCTGTCCCACCGTACACCTTCAAATTTGTTATTGATGTACTGCTTCAAACTTCCGTGCAAACCTCGAATTGCGTTTCACACCTGCACTTTGTTAACTACTACTACAAGACAGGGTGGGATCAAATTTAAACCTCATGCCTGCATACCTCGGAAGTTGTACACGTTCTGATGGAATGGACCACATATCAAATAGGGAAGGCCAAAGTAGCTTGTGTCATCCCCGATACCTATGGCGCTGGCGTGACATCGGTCTATCTAGCAGGCGCATTTTGTACAGTGGCCATATTACATACTCCCTTATGGGTCAGAAACACAGTGTACAGAATGAGCGAAAGCTATCGGTTTGGACGTCAATAGCTCCGAAGCGTTGGTCGGGTCTGGGGGGATACCAAGTTAGTAGTGGTAAGGTACGCCAAATGGCTTCAAGAAAAGGGAACTCTCCCACTATATATGACCTAATTACGCTTCAACGGTTATACTGGTTGGGATAGGTACTGCGCAAGCCAGACGACAGTATCCCTTGCAGAAATCTTTGGCCCAGGCCTTTGCTAGGTAGCTAGGCACCGTAAGGGTGTTACAGCTGAACTATTATTTTTACCCTTCAAACGAAATATCATCATCTCCATTGCATGTCTAAATCTTCCAAGCTTTCCAGTTTCCGGTGACAAAAAATGTAGCATCTGGAATCAATGAACTCTCAATCCATGGGCTACAGATGATGTACTGACCTGAACCTAAGGGCTGTTGTTCTTTCTTGGTGCATAGACGCTAAGCCAACTGCCCGCGGTCGGTCACTGGTTAGATTATTGGCAACCATTGGGTTCCATGTTTGGGACTTCTGCTCAACATGGAAACAGCTGTGATTCATCAAACTTCTGCCAAGGTCTTAAGAGAATGTTCCGAGAGTGACTTGTATAGGTACCCAAAGGTTCGCATCGGGGTTATGGGATCGCCTACTATGCTGTGCGGCCCTATCTCACTCACCAAACCTAACACCACAACCAGAATTTTTGGCGCTGATCCGATGTTTGCATCTTTGACACCACTACCGTAGCCTACTCGGGTCGACTTGTCTCTCCTGTTCGTCCGGCCGGCTTACCTTCAATGGCAACGAGTGGCAATGAGCTCAAGATAGTTCCGTCGTCGGGGCGCCGACTTACGGGCCGGAAAGTCCATGGTACGAACCCAAACTCAGCACCTTGACTGCTCTTATCTAGGCCTTGGCAACCTGGCAATATCCAGCTAGGCACAGAGTGGGTGTTACATTCGAAGGATTGTTTTACTTTTAATGAGCGCAGGACATTCCCTGCAGGATCCGACCGGTGATCTGCGCTGCTCGTGAGTCGGTGTCCTTGATTCTCACCCTCCGGTGCCCTTGGCTAACAACTGCTTCAAGCTGTCTGTGGGAGGATCGCCAGACACCAGCTTTGCCTAGTCTTTTCAACATGGACCACACGGCTGGATACTTTGGTGAAACCCACAAATACTGTACGGATTTTCTGTACGTGCTCCTCGCACCAACCTTCAGAGGCTCTTTGAAATAAGGTCATCCAGCTCAGTCAAGCACGTTGCGGGAGCAGAGGAGAGTGACCAGGGTCCTTCTGACCATTCTACAGCCAAGGTTAGATATGCGGGGCTGTGGATGTCCAGTATTCCACATTGGATGAAATTTGGGATCGACTCTACTGCTCCCGTGATGGAATTTCCTTCAATCACACGGACTCGCTGCTGAGTCAAGGCCAGCGGTGGAGTTACGCAAATTGCCCGTTGAAGGCATAGTAACGCTTGATCTCTCCCCGTTTGGTCGTCAAGCCTGGCTAGTCATGGTAAATGTCCCCTCTCTTCCACCCGCTAATTCAATTCCTCAAGTGCTGTTTTTGTGCGTAGTACTTCAGTCTCGTTGTCGTTTTGCCTAACCGATACCGTCAGCCAATTGCGTTCATTTCCTAGTATTAATTTCACAGGCTCAAGTAGAGATTCCGAGCCGAAGCTCATCGACTTCTATTGTTAGGGACTTCTGTTGTCTGAGCCGCTAATCCACGTTCCTTAAACAGGATTCGGTGGTTAACACCGTCAGGCGCCCTTCCTATGCCAAAGTACCCAAGAGCCCATTGTCGTGCTCCATGTGGCAATCAACTGTTCTCTTGGAAAATCTTTGAGGCAGTTGCAAGGTACTACTAATTCTTCTTCGGACCATCTTCTCCGACATGTTCAATAGAAGACCTGTAAGATATATTATTCTGTAATTATATACCCTATGCTTTTCTCTATTGCGTAAATAATTCGACAATACTGAGCACTGGTGTCTTTCGGTGTTAGCACATTGCACCTCACAGCTTGACATAACTTCCTCAACAGGAAGTCAGGAAAGATCCGACGATGCACACACTGTCGTGCGGGCTGTTTTCAGGCTTTCGCTTCTCAGTTCACCTAACACGGATATGAAGACAGACTTCGAAATATCAGCACAATGCAGACGAGAGTAAGCAGTGGACCCCAATATTGACAGGACTGTCAATGGAAAGCCGAGCTCCCTGATTGGCCCTTCTCATAATCAACTTCGGTCCGGAGCAGTTGAACAGATCAGGTGCTCGGTATTCGCAAAATGGAATTCACGGATTCACGGATTGATACACAGGATCGAGGCTTTTGCCCAAGTTTCCCGGGTCGGTTTTGTTCTTGTCGGTCAGTGGCTGTCGTTCACCTGAAAGGCACAAGTGAAAAAAGGGTGTAGCACTGCTCAGTCGAGAGGTTATAGGAAGCACTTCACGGATTCACGGATTCACGGATTCACGGATTCACGGATTCACGGATTCACGGATTCACGGATTCACGGATTCACGGATTCACGGATTCACGGATTCACGGATTCACGGATTCACGGATTCACGGATTCACGGATTCACGGATTCACGGATTCACGGATTCACGGATTGATACACAGGATCCAGGCTTTTGCCCAAGTTTCCCGGGTCAGTTTTGTTCTTGTCAGTCAGTGGCTGTCGTTCACCTGAAAGGCACAAGTGAAAAAAGGGTGTAGCACTGCTCTTTATGTCCTCAGCGCGGGGCAATATGCTCGCCAGCGCGAGGCTTCGCATAAGTAAATGTCTAATAGTGCCTTAAATTGGGTTCGAGAAGGAGCGTGGACAACCGTCGGAGGAAGGTCATTCCACGCAGCTACTACCCGAAAT